CAAATGTCATAATTTAAAATGTTTATTCATGATATATATGATATCAATTATGCATTTTGCCTGGGTTTGTTAGTATGTTCTTGGTACATGATTTTCAATTTTGACAAGAGTTTGGAAGCGATACTATAATATTGTGTACAAAATGGGCACTTATTCAACTTTGAAAGAAGAATGATATCAGATTGGAACACCTAAAGTAGATTGCTATACAAATCTCGAATTTAGCACATATTGCGCCCCCATCAGTGCTTTCAGCACTTTGATTTTCTTATAGTACTAGAACAATTGATAATTTCATCTAAAACAGCAGACTGGCATTATCCAAAGCAAGAAACTCATTCATAGAGGTCATGGAATGATGTTATTTAATGTATGTGATCCCTCAAATGCTGCTCTAGTATCAACACAAGAAACAGCATTTCAGTTGCTGACAGATGGGCAGACACTTAAACATATTCTTGAATTCTGCATCAGTACTGCATGTAAAGTAATTAAACTTCTCATTTATTGAGAATAATGATAAACGTTGAAAAAAGGATAAAGCATTGGAAATATTGTTACAAAACAAAGCAATAAGAAACTTGTTGATGCTCCCCAAACAGGTTTTGGACACAGAGAAACCACTTCTTATTGATTCACACAGTGTAGTTTTTTTTTATAGGAACAAAGGGCAATAACTCCAAAATTAGACAAGGTAGAGTTATGGTACTAACAGTACGGAATCCAAGGTTCATAGATCTAACGTTTTCCATTCTTGGTCAACTTCAGGCTAGATAAATACAAAAGCCTTTTAATCTTCCTGAGTATCAATATATATCTTAAACATCTCAATGAAATACAAACAAAACTTGCATGTCATTGGAGTTAAAAGGCAATATGTTCAATGTCATTTCGTGAAACAATAACAACAAGCAAATTCGTTGAATTTATATCCCCCGCCGAGTACTGGTTATTATTAACACAACAACTGAAGACATAAGGCTATGCAACAGACCGGAACCATTTGATCAACTTTGGCAGGGGACCACCCTAGGATCATTCCTGTAAAGTTTGGTTGCTGTGCAGTCATTTGTTTCTGAGAATATGTTGATTAAAGAAATTGCTGACGACGCATGACGACGGACGGTGGGGGATCACAATAGCTCACCTAGATGTAAAAACATCTTAATCTCCAGACTTCATTATTCGTAATTTAGTGATGTTGATCATTATTCCTGTAAAGTTGGTCGATTCTAACTCAAGCACTCAAGGATCAAATAACAACATAATGAAACAGTTTTTACTAAGTCAAGGGAAATAACTCTACAAATACTGGATAAATCCACAAGCGAAACCCCAGGAACAAACTAAATATGCTGAGCAACTTTCCAATAAGGTTAAATGACTCTATGTCAAATCCTTTTTGAGTTACATGCGACACATGTTGAAAATTGCAAACATTTTCTAAGTCAAGGGCAATAACTCTAAAAATACTAAATAAATCCAGACGAAAATACCCAGGTGCACAACTACACATGCTGATCAACATTCCTGTAAAGTATCATTACTTTAGGTCAAATACTTTTTGAGTTACATGTGACACAAGTTGAAAATTGCCAAATTTTACTAAGTCAAGGGCAATAACTCTAAAAATAATAAAAATATCCGGACGAAAATACTCAGGTGCACAACTACACATACTGATCAACATTCCTGTAAAGTTTCATGACTCTAGGTCAAACACTTTTTGAGTTACATGCGACACAAGTTGAAAATTACAAAATTTTACTAAGTCAAGGGCAATAACTCTAAAAATGCTAAAAAAATCCAGATGAAAATACCCAGGTACACAACTACACATACTGATCAACATTCCTGTAAAGTTTCATGACTCTAGATCAAATACTTTTTGAGTTACATGCGACACAAGTTGAAAATTACAAAATTTTACTAAGTCAAGGGCAATAACTCTAAAAATACTAAAAATATCCAGAAGAAAATACCCAGGTGCACAACTTCACATGCTGATGAACATTCCCATAAAGTTTCGTTGAATTCCAGCCATTAGTTGCAGAGAACTACTCCGGAAACGAAATTCGGACGTTTTACTAAGTCAAGGGCAATAACTCTAAAAATACTAAAAATATCCTGACGAAAATACCCAGGTGCACAACTTCACATGCTGATCAACATTCCCATAAAGTTTCGTTGAATTCCAGCCATTAGTTGCAGAGAACTACTCCGGAAACGAAATTCGGACGGACGGATGGACGGACATACTTAGCAGACGTGTTTGTGGGGTTATTCCTTTGATCTCTTAACCCCACAAGAGCAAATTTTTTTAACCCCATAAGAGCATTTTTAACCACATAATACATGTCTCTACGGAATGAACCCCATACAGAGTGCCTGTACATAAACCTAAACCTCATAATGTAGCTCTCGTCTGCTCGGACGGACGGACGGAAGGACGGACAACGCCAAAACTATATCCCCCTCCCGATATCCCCCTCCCGATTCCATCGGCGGGGGATAATTAAATCAGTAAATACATTATGACACTTTAGAGGAAAGGACTGGTTTACCTCTGCCACTGTCTACAAAAGTCATAAGTTTAAACCACTGACTGTGCCACCTTATCTCTATATTTATATCCAGACAAGACTTCAATTTTAGTTTTACTTACATTTACCAATATCTTGATAAAAGTCTTTGTGTGCAGAGTCTGACAATTGTTTTTATATCTTAGTCATATAAAGGAAGAAAATGTAATAAGAAGTACATGTATAACCTAACTTTTTGTCAGTGGTTCTACTCAAATGCCCGTTCAGGCCAGTAGGGCACCTAAAGCCTCGGTCTCACTTACTCCCGGCAGAGCCCAGGACCATCTTGGTAAGTTACCGGGATGATCGGGGACGATCAGGGATGAAATTATTGTTGTGGTCACACTTACCCCGGCAGCACTACGGTAGTTCTCAACTAACCACCCAGGATGCGCTCTGGATCATCCAGGCAAAGCCCAGGTGAAGCTACGGTTCATGCCGTTGCTTCCCCAGTCGTTCCCGGATGACGCCGGAAGAGCCCTGGTTGACCAAGGTAGAGCCCCAGCAGAGCCCAGGATGATCCAGGCAGAGCCCCGGTGGATTGAAAACACTCAAAAATGATAACTTTGATACATAATTTTTATCTAATATAATATCTATTGTTCCAGAATAGTAATTCATGATGATTTTCTGAAAAATCCTTATGCCATACTGGAAAGAAGGGAAATGGGAAGGCTTTTAATACAAACAAGTTCAATCATCGCAAATTGTCCTTATTCTTTAGAAATGATCCGGGCTTTGCCGGGGCTCTACCGGGATCAACCGTAGCTCTACCTTTATCCTCCGGGGCTCTGCCTGTAGTTACCGGGGCTCTGCTGGCATATACCAGGGCTCTACCATAGCTCTACCGGCTATATCATACCCCGGATCATCCCCGGTTTGTGCCGGCAGAGCTACGGTGCTTTCCCGGTATAACCCGGTCATTCCCGGCAGAGCTAAGGATGAAGCCGGCAAAGCTATACCTTCCCGGATCATCCCAGACTACCCCGGTGATATTAAATATTTTATTCCATCCGGGGTCGAATGCCGGATGTTCCCGGATCATCCAGGACGTTGCCGGCAGAGTTACGGATGTACCCTGGTTGTTTCCGGTCGTACCCCGTCTTTCCCGGATCACCCCGGACGTCTACCAGGGCTCTGCCGGGATGTAAGTGAGACTGTAAGGTCTTATCCACCAGTAAAGCTGGAAAGTCACCATATAACCTGTACTGTGTTTGTTTGACGTAAAAGCCAATCAAACAATGATATGATCGAAGTACCTAAAAATCTTGTGGAGAACTATTGTTCATTTCTAATGGTCATAAGCATCAAACATTTGTTGGTATGCAATGTTGTTACAACTAGGTTGACCTTAATATGAGCTTGAATATCAAAGAATACGGAGAGCATCAACATCAAACTTCACTCTGACTTACCTTTTTACAGAGTTATGACCCTTTTCTGACTGTCAAGCTCTAAAAAAGTTGACCAAACTCATCGTCTTAGAGACAGCTCTTGCTTTGACCATAAGCATAAAACTTTCTGAGACTACTACTAATACTGAGTTGAGTATTGTTATCTTCAAATATGTTAAACTGACACTGAACATTTCAAATCATCAATGATCAAATAAATGATATGAAACAACCCGTACGAAAAAGATAGCAGGATTCCGCCTAATATAAGCAGGAAAACGCTTAAAATTTCCGTGTATATAAGATTTTCCTGCTAATTTAAGACGGACACGGAATTTTGTAAAAAATCCTGCTAAGCAATTTCATATTCCGCCTAAGGCTTAGGCGGAAAATATGGGATGAGCAATAATTTAGACGGGTTTTAGGACTTAGAATTTTGTCAGTTATTTGTTAACAGGAATTATGTACTTAGACTTTCTTTTTAACCAGAAATTGAACTTAGAAAATTTTACTAGACAGATTTCTGAATTTGGAGAAATTTCTGAAGATGACAGGTATATAATAAATCGATTATTAAGTGATCAACAATTATTTTGCTGCTTTTATTCATTGTTAATTTTCCAAACTAAAATATTGTTTGTACAAACATAAACATACATAATCATTAATTGATAAAAAAAACTCCACAACAAAACTAAAACTTAGAACATATTATATAATGATGTTGTGATGACTTTTGCATAGAATATATTTCACTTTGTTAAATTTGGGTATGAACTAAACTCATATATTAAGCTTTTTAATGTAATATAATTAAATGAGTAATATCCCTGAAAATTTCTTATCAACAGGATAAATAAATAAATACTGCCTCTAGTAACCACTCTACTATGATTTAACACCACAGACTTGATAACACACAGGTCAGATCGTAAATTCTGCTACAGTCCAGACTGTTCCATGCGATTTATTTGGGGGGAAGCAACAGTTACTTAGTACATTTTATATGATGAGTCTGTTAAGAAGGACTTTGCAAAGTTTTTTTTAAAGATATTTATTATCAATTTTGGATTCTTTTTCCATTTATTTTCTGGTATTTTTATATAATTGTGAAAATAAAACGATGGGTTGGATTATCCCTGTTTACCATCATATCATGGACTTGTCCATAATTTGAAATCTAGGAAATATGGGTCAGCAGAAGCTTAGACAGTGGAAATAAAGCAAATAACAAAGGATTTTATTGATAGTTAAAAATTGTGGTGATAAAATATAAGCAATTTTTGAGATAATATTTTGTTTAAAGTGTAAGGATTGAATATTTTTGAATTTTTCAAAGAAAAAAAATAAGACTTAGCCTTGTGAATGAAAATGACAATAATCTGGATATGCTCAGTTGTAAATGAATTTTGAATGCTACATTATGACCTTGGATAAGAAGATAAATACCAATATCATAAAAATTCAGGTAAGTAACTTTTGGATACATTTAAACAATAAAAATATATTTCGAATAAATTAAATAATTTTGCATTAAGTTTGAGAGTAAATTTGTAACACTAAGTTTGGTTGTAATGAATTATAGTTTAAATGCATGTATAATTATAACTGCATACAATGACAAGAAACAATAATATAAGATATTAGTGGTGGCAGTGTTTTACTGATGACTGTTTGTGTTTCAGGATATGTCTCAAGCTGGTGTAAAAAGAATGGGAGGGGAGGAGTCACGGACAAGGATATTAACGATACCATAAGTTAAAGCAGATCAGTTATGCTTGGATTAAAAATGAAAACAACTGCCTGAACAAAAAACATTTACAGTGAAATAAAATGAAATAATTTGCCATGGATTAAAACAATACAATAGCAGTGCAATAAAAAATATAACTCGTGTTTCTGTTTTTTGTGTGACTCTTTTACGTACTGTACATGCACCCTAATGTAGAAAACATTATGGTAAAGCTCACAAAAATTACTTAAAAGCTTTGTAATTGTGATCACCTATTGTCTGTCTGCAATTTTGGATTCCAATTATTCTTATGCAGCTAAAAAATAATGTTGTATCCATCCATAATTCAACTTTATTAGTGTACTATCACAAAATTGAATATCTTCATTTCCTTAGGCAGATTTTTTGCTAGTATTCCTTCAAGGAAGAATTTTCTCCTGCTAGTGATTTTCTAAGTAGGTATTTTTTTCCTGGTTAAAATATTTTAGGCGGAATTTTTTCCGGCTAAGAATTTTCCTAAGGCGGAATTTTCTCCTGCTAGTGCTTTCTTTAAGCTGATTTTTTTCCTGGATAAATTTTCTAAGGAGGATTTTTTTCCTGCTACCCTTACTGTTTTCCTCCTAAGAAAATTTGCATATTTCGCAGCGTATTCCTGCTTGTAGGAGGAATCTGTGATATGTAAACCTGAAATGCCTTAGACGGATTACGCCTAGTAGCTAGGCGGAATTTCTGCTTTTTTCAGGGCGGAAGTTTTCGTACGGGAAAAGAGAACAGGGATTTAGAAAAAAACAAAATCTGATTTCATCATACATTTACCATATACTATTATAACATTAAATAATTGCCATATATTTACAAGATTGCAATCTAATGTTAACAGTTTTCCCTGCCAGCTATCAACAGTTAATTAGATAAATAACATAATTAATTGGAAAAATGTTTCAACTATTTGCTCATGAATTTACCATTATGTGAAAAGCACTCACATGAAAAGAAACTAGAATTAACCCTTAAAGCCTCTAGTTAATGAAACTCTTTCACTACAGTCCTCGGAATGTGAAAATTGTAATTCTATATAATGATGACATAGCAAAATTGTACCTGGAATAATAAGCTGAATCTGTTATTGCACTTTCTTATGAAAAACAACATGTACTTGTTATGAAATACAAGTTACAATACAATACTAGTATTAGTATGTCAGTTGTTTGTAAGATATTTTAAAATAGCAAAAACTAGCATGGAATAACATTTTGAAATTTGGTTCTTAGATTATTTGCAAATATATATACAGCCTTCTTAGTATAACTAACTTTCATTATTTGAATATTGGGGGTACTCTGGTCAATTGACTATTATTATCGTATCAAAATTCAAATCATTAATTATATTGTTGTTATATTTATTTAATCAAATGTAAGGGTCTCAATTGTAGAGTCAATATTATAGTCACTATTATAGAAACACCATTAATGGTGTTATTTCTTAAAAGTGAGGAAGTTGTATCAAGATTACTTCATGGTTGTTAAGGCCAAGTTGAAGTTGAAACCTGAGTTACAAAGGTATAAGGCTTAATGTTTTGCCTTTCTTTGTCAAAAATATTTTAAAAAGGCAAAAATAACTGGTGTATACTTAAACTTCATTAACATAAATTTTACAATAATAATATACTTCACAATTAAAAGTGTCTTCTAAAACAGTGAATGCTTTTGTGACAGGTCGGAAATTTAGTGACATGGTATGGTATTGGTTTTTTACCGTATAGTACGGTATCTAGAGTTTAGCGCAGTTTCATTCGGAGCGCTTTTGTCATTCTCTATCAGTTGTTGGCGGAGGTAGATGCGTGAAGCCTTTGTCACCTTTTGCTTCTTTAAATTCATGGTTATATTTTGTTGGAAGAAGGTTTTAGTATTGTAAGTTTGTTTATCTCTGTATTGGCCACTGAATTGTAAACGGTTTTGTTTATTTGTTTATTTCTCGGTTGAATTTATTGTTCAGTCGGTTCTGAAGAATTTCCCGCCAAACCCCGCGTCTTTGACCCCTTTGTCCTTTGACTGTCATATGATCTATTCTATTTGTCACTATTGCTAACAATAATTTTACATTCACAGCATGCAGTTACAAACACCAGAATGGGGAGTGTGTGATGTATGTTTAAGTGGAAATACCAAGGATCCCATTGATCCTGTAAGTAATTCTTAATGTTATATTGTTTCTTATTTTTTACATATATCATTGTTAAATGTGCAAAGGATTATATGTAATGTTTTTATTTTAATTCATTTAGGATCGAACCACAAGTACGTTCATTAAGTATCGAACCACAAGTACGAATGACAATTTAAGTTATTCTTTGATAACATTTACCAATATAATATTGCAATGCTATATGTCATTTTAAGTAATCGTTATATTGTTTAGTAAATATATGCTATTGATA